GTGCGCGGCGGCGGAGGGGCCGGAGCTGCCTCTCCGGGGCGCCTGTGCTGCTGCCTGACTGCGCTCCTGGTCTTGACTTGGGGAAAGTAATTTTGCTTTCTGGTGGTTGTAACGGCTAGAAGGCCATTACTTTCCAAACTACATCCCGAGTTTCTGTGTGCGGTTCTACTACTGTTGACCATGTTCTGCCGAATCCTTATGCCTGCTTTATGTAGTGCTGGCAGTGCCCAAAATTACCAGGGCCAAATGAGGTGCATAAACAGTTACATTGTGTACCTACTTCTAGAAATGGAAAAGCTCAAGAGACTTGTTTCTGTGAAACATAGTTTCCTTTTCTTTATCAATGGAGTCCTTACTATGCCTTTCTTTTTTTAAAGTGACAGAATTAGTGCTTCTGCATGTGTGTGTTGTGTTTTGTACTGTTGTATGTTGTTAGAATTGCAGGAAAATGTCACTCAGACTGCACCTAAATATCGGGTTACTTTCTCATTGTGCAGTGTTGTTTTTGCTCTTTAGAAGAATTGAGGATAAACACCTAAAATGGCTTAGCCTAGGGTCTTTGTTGATGCTGCCTGACGTTATAGCAGGAACTATAGCAGAAGAATAAATTTGACTTATTTCTTTTTTTTTTTTTTTTTTAAGTATTACTTTGATAATTGAGAACTCTTAAGTTTATTCCAACTTAACTTTGGATGTGGTAATTGGTTTTCCATGCTCGTGCATGAATTGTCAGTGCTTTTTTTATTATATTACTGCAGCCTTGAGTTTATAAAAGTTATTAATTTTTTAATATATAATACAATAATTAGGAAAACAGTGCCATTGGTCTTAGGACTTCTAAATGTTCCTCTTACAATGCTTAATCAAACTGCTGTTTTATTTGAATCCCACTATTGCTGTAATAGGGTAAATATGTTCAAAGCACTAAGATCAAGTATGAATGGCAGTGTTAGTGGCACAGCTTGTTTGTTTGCAGAATTCTGCTTTAAGACTAAAATGAAACTGATTGATGAAACTTGAAAATAATGTTGTGTTTAGTCCTGCAGCTAAGAGTTTTATACAGGATGGGTAACTGGATTTTATGAGAGTTCTGGTCTTGCCAGGTACATGTAGGAAATAAGTTTGACATCTGAAGTTGAGTTTTTAGGTCAGGAATACTGATAAATTGCAAAATATTACGTATATACTATATATAATATCACATTGTTTTACCTCTTGAAGAGGCAGACTTTTTCATATAATCTTTCTGCTAATGTATAATGCATATAATAATGCAAGATCAAGTTGTCAGTTGTATCAGAATCAATTTTAAAATGGAGAGATAAAAACATAGACTTATTGTCAAAGGACTGTCCATTCTGCAGGCACACACACAAAACTACATTATGAATGTGATATTCTTAAAATGTAAGTAGATTACCTTCAAATAACTTTAATCCTTTAGCTGCCTTATTTGCCTATCATATTATGAAAATAAACTAATTTTGTTTGCAGTTTGTGATCAGCTGTATCATGTTCTTGTAGTGTAGTCAAGTGTTTCTTCATGTACCTTGTGAGCATCTTGGGGGAATTTTTGAAGTATAAAACATACTCAATTAAAAAGTTAATTTTACTTGGAAAAGTGAACAACTTTATTTTCTGTTACTCTCCTGAAGTAAAAGCTACAATTGAGAGATTTTTGAGCAAAATTAACTTTTAAAGTAAATAAAATAGTAATAGTGAAACTTGAACAGCATTGTATTTTCTTCCAGCGTAACCTGAAAGGTGATAAGCATGTCCACAATCACTGCACAATTTGTAGAAATAGATTTTAGATTATAGCATTCTTAACCCCAAAGTTTAAAAGATAACTAGTTGTTATTTTGTTGCCTGATATATTTTTCTTTTTTAATATGTTTTTGGGTAGGTAAAAGGATACATGTTTGCTTTCAGTAAAGAAGAGCATGTTCCCAAATTTCTCCAACTTGGGTCATCCACCCTTCCCTCCAAAACATCAGCAACGCAGTACCTTGTTCAATAAGCTTCCTCTAAACATACCACCTACTCTTCTCTCTCACCAGCATATTACTGATGCTCAGTTTAACTTCCAGAATGCAGTGTAAGTACAATAATACTTGATTTTTGATCAAGTTGATTTGGGGTAGGGGGTTGTAAAAGACAGCTGTCTTCTGAAATAAGTATTTTTGTTTATGGAAAATTATTGTCAGTATTTTTAAAATTATATTGCATAAAGCATGAAATCTAAAGAGAATATCTTGTGTGTCTTTAAAACAAACAAACAAACAAAAAACACTATTTCACCTTTGTTGATGATCTGCAAGTTTTAATGCTTGTGTGTGTAATGTGAGATACTATTTCATTAGTTAACTCGTTTACTGACTAGTTAATAATTTTTACAACAATTTGTTAGTTTTAACAAATTCAGTTATGTATGTTCACTGGGGAATCCAGGAAGGAGATGAGAAGAAGAAACTCTTATGCATTGTGTGAAACTTGAAAAATGATAGTGCTTTTAGCCTTTTAGCTTTAATGCTGCCTTAAGCTACTTGGTTTGCAAAGTTTTAGCATATGTGCTGTCTACTGAAACTTCCTGTCTTTAATAGAAAAGAGAGGTGTGTTGTTTCTAAGAAGAAAAAATGACAGGACTTGCAAAGTTTACTTTTCTTCAGTAAATACAAATTGCCTAAAAAAAATTCTTGGTTATTGTATGAATAATGATTATGGACTGTAGTCTTTCTAGGACTCAGTTGAGTGGTAACCTTGCAACTTTTCCAACTGTTACATCTCAGCCATTGCTTTATGGAAATGGCAGTTCAGTACATGCATCTGCTGCCTCTACGTCATTCCAAGGAAGAAAGTAAGTTCTTTAGTGTGTGTGTGTATAGTTAACTCTGTGTAATAATTAATGTTTAACTAATTCTGATCATAATGTATGACATAGGTTATATATTGCATGCTTCTTGTGTGACTTGAATTTTGATGGAGCTTCTAAGAATAGTGAATAAAGCCTTTCTTATGTAGTCCACAATTCACATGTTATGGTACTTTGTAGTGTTCTTTTACTTGTTTTTGAGAACTTTATTCCATAGTAGTGATTTAATATGTGTAGTTTTTCTCTTGCAACAGTTGTAGCAGAACAGACTTGTTTGTTTTATTTTAATGTTGTAGTAGGTCCTAATCTATCTATGCTTGACTGATAGAAGGCTTGTATCAATACATTGAATGTTTTCTTGTTGATTTACCAAGTTGAGAGTAAAAAAGCTCCTTTAGTGTTTTGAGGGGAATTGTGATATTTTTCTGATGATGGACTAGATATTTCTCCTGCACTTCTTAATTATGTGAAGTTTTATTTATTCATTTATTTATTTTTTCAAACAAAGTTCTAAATTCAAGCACTTGAGGGGGGATTTTATGAAAACTTTTTTTTTTTCCTCCCTCCTTTTTGGAAAAACTTTACTAATTTAGGGAGCTTCCTTTGTGCAACAATAAGATAAATTCCAGATGAATGTAACTTTTATTTCTTCGTGACATGTTAGAAGAATTACTTTCCTATCCCGCTTATCAGTTGAGAAATAATAATTGATTTTTTTTTTTTTGCGGTTCTGTGAATCGGGTGATAGGGAGGAAGCCTTAAGAAACCCCATCTTTGAAACTCTTGCCTGTATGTTATTCCTCTTGCTGATAGGATATGAATAGTTGAATAGTTAAATACTTGTATAACCAATTATAACTTAGCATTATGCATCTCATCAACTAAAGAAAGTCCTGGTTTCACATGCTGTGTACATATTTTTTCCTTGAGCAGTCTGACTTATGGAAAACTATGCAGTGCTGAGGGACTTGCAGTCAACTAGTTATTTAGATCTTTAATCAACTCTTAGGGTATTTTCAATGGAGATCAGTTCATGTAAGTTCTCGGCTAAAATAAGCTGAAGTGAATATCCCCATACTCCTCAGTTTTTATGCAGGTACTTAATGTATAAGGGGCTATCCATAAGATGACAATCTCTTTTAAAGTACATATGAGTTTCTGTGACTAATGAATTAATGTGGGAATAGAGTTTGTTTGTAAATGACCTTGTTTGTAAATGTTAGGTTTATGTTGATATGTTGAAATGTTGATAATGTTTGTAAATGTTAGGTTTATGACCTACATAGCTTAATACAATCGTTAGTTTGATTTGTCAAATGAATAGTGATTCTTTTTTGCCAAGATTACACATTTCACTGTCTGTACAATCTAAGCCTACACAGACAAATGCTGCATTTTGAATGGCTATTGTGGTAAGTTTGTGGGTATGTGTTTTTGGGGGGGGTGTTTTTTGGTTTTTAATATAGTATGACCAGTATTCATCTTTTCTAGCTGTCCTGCGTGACTGGACTTGCCCTTTGGTTTCAAGTAGCTAATATAAATTCTCTTGTTAAGCAATTTGCATCAATCCACTTCAAGGGTAGTTGCACTTCTGCAGTTGTATATTTTCTTGCATTTTCCAGTCCAGGTTTATTTCGCTTAATATCTAGGACGGGGCATGCCTTTTGATTCTGTAGAATGTTTGGTTTTAGTGAAATACTCATGATTAATTACTGTGACTATTTGTACTTTGTAGCAAATATGCTTTAATCATAAGTCGGAGCTTTGGAAGCTTAGAATTGTTTTTGTGTTTTATTTTGTAGGAGAATAAGGGAACAAAGTGTTCCATATGACGTTAAACGGCAGCGGTTTCATTCACCTCATCGCGAAACAACGGTAGTTAACCAAACAGTGCCTTTAGCAGAAGAACGTAGATACTCCTTCCCAGGATCCACTCCATCTCGACTGTTCCACGCGTGTTATTTTCCTGATTTAACTGGACATGTCCCTCCATTGCGAGACACTTTGTTTTCAGACCCTATAGAGACCACACTTCCTGTGGCTAAAGACAAGGTAATACTTACATATGCCTGTACTTTATGTTGCCCTGGTGAGGAGGTGAGACTTGTGATGCTGTGGAAGAGAACAGAAACTTCCACGGGGTCATTAAGTCTCTGCTGCTGTGCTTTATTTGTAAGGAATAGCAGTGTATTGAAAGGAGAGAAAAGTTATGGTTCATGGTTCATGTGTGTATATGCAGAAGAGGATGTCTTCAAGTGGCCAATGGAATTGGAACTGTTCCTTAAGAAAAGGATTGCAGCAAATCATTCTTTATATTTCATCTTGCATCAACATGATGGAAAGGATTTTTGTCAGTTGATTGTAGTGTATAGAAGTATTGTCATTAAAGAGGAGATAATCAACACCTGCCTCCACCAAAGATCTGACTACTACTTTGATTATTTGAGTGGGGTTGAAATAAAAATAATAATAAAAGAAAAAAAGCTAGCTTAAGTCAGTTTTTCATCTTTATTTTTATGCTTATTATAGTTGGTCAAACTAGTGACTTTAAAGTTGGCAGAAGATATCTGTGGTCTTTGGCTGCTTGTTCCCTGAAAAGCTGCAGATGCTATTTGGGCAAAGCTTACTTTATTTGGATAGACATATTTTCTAGGATTGGACAAACTTAATAATAGAAACTGTAGAAATTTCATGTGGGGAGGTGTTCAATATGAATTTAAGCAGAATAAAATTTCAAACAGATTATGGGAAACAATGTTGCTATTTATTTGTTGTTAATGCAATGCTTTCTGTTTTTTATTTTTTGTATAATTGCATTTCTCTTAAGAGAAAATCTTCTACTGCTCTTTACTTTTTTTAATGTATGTGTCAAGATAAGTCAGCAGGTTTTGGAGTTGTTTCAAGCATGTCAGCAACAGACCTGTGACTTGAACAGAAAAGAACTCTGCAGAACAGAACTCCAGAGGGAAATTCAGCGAATTTTTCCACGTATGTTTTGAATTTGACCATTTGTTATCAGTTTGAATGTACTTGACATTCCTTGTTTTCCCTTCTTTCCAAAAGAAGATACTTCCATCAGTTTTTCTCCTGTGGTTCTCTTGTTACAGAGAGCAGACTCGTTTTGGTTGGATCCTCACTGAATGGCTTTGGCACTCGTAGCAGTGATGGTGATCTGTGCCTCGTAGTTAAAGAAGAACCGGTAAGTAACTTTAAATATATTTAAGTCTATTTGCATGGTGCACTCTCTGGAACCTGAGCACTTTAAATTTGGTAACTATTTAAAAATAAGAAACAAATAGTCAAATCCTTGGATTTAATAATATATAATTTGCACTCATAGTAGCTATGAACTGTGGCTCCTGTGTTATTGCAAAAATGAATTTGACTTTATAAACCTTTTAACCCAGTAAAATCTTTGAAAATTATGCATTACCTTAATTACACAAACGGACAAAGCACAGAGTAACAAGGAACATCTAATTCTTTTAGATGCAAGAACAACTTTTTTTTAAAAAAAAAAAAAAAAAAATTGTTTAGGTTTTTAGCTACCATGTTGAAAAAGCAAAGCCAGACATTTCCATAGTATATGTTAAATATATATATTTTTTTCTACTGAAAACTGTTACCCTGATGTAAAAAAATTATTTTTATTAATAATATTACAATTATAATCTTAAAATATTATTTTTATAATATTTTATATAATGTTTCAGGTGAATCAGAAGACAGAAGCAAGGCATATACTCAGTTTAGTCCAAAAACTCTTCAGTACTAAACTTTGTAAGTTCCAGTCTACAGCAAGGTGGTAAGATTAATGGCAGCTCTGCAAGGAGTGTTAACCTACAGTTCAGGCAACTACCTGTGTACTTGCATGTTGTCTAGTTTCTAATCTTAACTATCTTTTCCCCCATTCCAGAAAATTTGATCATAGTAAAACTTCTTATTTTGTATGATGAAATTGATGGATAATTAAAACAACCTAAGGGATACCCTGCAAACTAGTGGATTTAAAAAATGGGTAGCTTTTTTTTTTTTTTTTTTTTTTTTTTTTTTTTTTTTTTCTCTTTGCCTCTCTCCGTGGTCCATGATTCAAAAGTAATATTCCTGTTTGGAAACCTCTGCTAGTGAACTATTATTTCTTTTAGATTGCAATGCTTTCCTTAAGATGATACCCTAAAAAGTTTTCAAGTAGAATGTCACTCAAATTTCTCTACAGTCTTTTTATGGACCTTGATACTTGTGAAACAGTTAATTTGGGTATCTACTGAAAGATGTTGTACCTTGCGAAAGAACGGACTCAGTCTGGGATGCAGAGTGAGACAACTTTATTCTCAAACCAACCTCTTTTATACTCTCTTAACACAAGTGTTGCAAAGCTTACAACCAATCAGCATCTTGCCAGCCATGCAGTTGTGGTTATCTTCTTGCTTTGTTCCTCATCTGCTCACAAGACATTCCACATGTGGTTGTAGTCCTCCTCCTTTTCCTGCTTTGTTCTTTGCTGATAAGACATTAGTCCTTGCGGGTCAGCCCATCAACTGTGCACTACTAAGGCATTCTTGTGATTAACTATCTACTAACAAGGCATCTATTATCTACTGACAAGGTACTATGCCTCCATAAAAGAGATATTGGTACCTGCATATATAGGAGAAACAGGTCTGAACTATGGTTCTTCTAAGTTGTTGTTTAGACTCCCTTTAGATGAAGAATTCACAGGGACAGGTCTCGTGAATACCTTCTACTTCAAAGAGGTTTTTGTACCATCCTTTGAATTATTAATAGACAACAGGTTCTTTTATATCAATGATTTTGTCCACTTAGTTCTCAGACTTGTGATATGTTCTTTGATGCAGCTTCTTTTGTTGCTGCTCTGAATTGTCCTGCAATGGTAAGAGGAACAAACCATAAATTTCAGTGCAGGTTTCAAAACATCTTGTTCCAGTGCTTTCTGGGAAGCATAATGATAAAGTAGCCATGTTTTCAGGGACCTGAAAGGGACCGTCTAAATAAATTATGACCATCTTTTCTTTCTTCAAGAGGCTGTGTTCTGTGAGATGGCTTTAGACAAAATCAAGTTCGTGTGCTGGGGAACAAAGAGACATCACTGTTGTGGGACTGATTCTGTGTGACTCTTGTCAGTTTTGTTATCTAGATCTTAGATCATCTCTTTGTAATTCTAACATCTCTGTGAGCATGGTGCTCTTAGGGTGCTCTTCCCCCCCCCCCCCCCACAAGCGGGGTGTTCTTTAAAGAAAAAAGTTGTTAAATATTGTTTTACTTGCAAAGAAAAATTTTCAAGTTCAAAATAGAAATGCTTTTGCTTACGGGTCTTTCTATTTGGTTTGCTCCATTTGCAAGCTATGACTTTGTGCGGAAAATCTCGCTGTCAAGAACTGAATGTCCAAAAAGGAGACAGAGGAGTCCTAAAACTTTATTCGAATAAAGGGAGAGTCCACCGGGCATATCCCTGTGGGGTCTCTCAAATTGCTGGGGGACGCAGCCCCCCTTTTATCCTAATTTCCCGACCGAGGGACGCCCTCTCCTTTTCCCCATTGGCCAAGGTACTCAGAAGTTACAGCCTTCCCGGCCCGCCTACACCGAACTCCAGCCTCCCGCCATCTGTTCTCACCTGAGCTCACCAACTCCTTTGTCCCCCTTGCTGAAGAATGTGGGGGAATTGCCCTATTTCCCTCCTTTGTAAAGGCCCCCATCTCCTTGCAGATGGCTCTTTTTGTCCCACTCCCTCATGGCTCTGCTCACTCTCCCTTCCCTTTGTCCTGCTCTTCAGCCAAACTGTGGAGAAACCCCCTTATTGATGAACACAGAAACTTGAGCATTCTGCTCAACTTGACTATGCTGAAGTTTAATAATCTTGAAATAAGTATGCCAATTACTTTGATTAAAGCTTATTTAGACAAATAAAATTGTTGTCATTCACATGTTCAGAATAACTTTTCATTTGAAGATAGACTTTGAAAGCTCCCTGATAGACGGCTAGGCGTCTGGAGAGACTTCATGTCACACTTTTGAGACATTAAGTACAAATGGAAGCTAGGGTTGTCAATCATCTCTTTGTTTATAAACTTGAATCAGAATTCCTGGTGCAGTGGTCATGAGGGCCACACTTGTAGACTTAAAAGGCAGAATATGAGTACGTGTCTGCTGCTGTTGTGTATAAAAGCAAGTGTAAGATTGGTCTGTACAAAACTTCTAAGAATTGCAGTATTCTTAAATTTTGTGCTGTCCAGTTAATGCAAATAACGGTATCCTATAATCTTAGTCATACTATTTTTCAGTTTCTTCTTATTTTGGGAGAGGAGGACTGCACCTATATTAAGATTCTCAGCAAGTGTATGAGCTGTCGTTATTCTTTGCTTCACATGAGAGAATAGAAATAAATATATTGTAGGCCAAGCATGAAAGTGAAGCAAATATGTGCCAGGGTGTGTGAAAGACAAGAAGGGGGAAGAGAAGTTGTTTGATACTACTTAAAGCCATACTTTATAAAAGAGATAAAGGATGAATCGGAAATGATTTTTGTTAAAGAGTGTACCTGTGGAATATATGATGTTCCAAGCCTTTTTAGCCTTTTCCAGTTGTAGAATGAGAGAAATTGCAGTTTAGAAACTTTCATCTGAAATTTTTCTAGATATACTTAAAAGCTTCATCTTTATTTCTTCCTCTGTGGTAACACAAGGCTAGACTGTGTGTGCAGGTTGCTAAAAATATTGGGATTAATATTTTGTACAGTTGCACTTTTTCAGCAAAAGATTTAAGCTGTTTCATCTGAAATTATGCATGAATGAATTTACATAGAAGTGTTCAGTTTTCTTGGAAATGATTATGCACTTTTTCACTACAAATAGCCTCACATTCAGAGTGTTCTGAGATGCTGGAGGAGGGTGATTAGATGCCCCTGTGGGTGCAGCTAGGGAGAGGGGTCACTTGTGCTGAGTCGTGCTAGACTGTTCAGTCAGTGAATGTGGATTAAAATTCTTCTCAAATGCCAGTTATAATATTCTTCATTTAAAACCATTAATAATGTTACTCTAAGCTAGTAACATTATCCCTTTTCTTTGATTGCCAGATTGCTGCATATTACTCTAGGATCATAAAGTGAAATCAAATTCAGATAAAGGGTTACAAAAGGGCAAATCCATCCAAGCATGCATCTCCGTAAAACATTTAGAGAAAGCCTCAAAGAAAAAAAAGTTCCTAGCTACAGATTTGAAGTGTAATATTCTATTATCACCCAAATGCAATGTAGCTGACTCTTTAATCAAGGTTGCTATTGAACCTGAAAAAGAAATGCCTCCTTTTCTCCCTAAGCTAGTGCTTATTATTATTATTTTGTAATCTACACTGCTTCTACCTTGGTCATGCTTACTCAGCTTAGGTTAATTTCCTCAAAGGGGAAAAAATGGATGATATTAAATATGGTCAAATTCAAGTGGCCCTACGGTTTTGACTTAAGTTACTCAAACTGCGGTGTTGGCCAGATTCATACTGTGAAACTATGGATTCTGTTTTTCTTTATCTTATTCCATCATCTTCTTAGGTACATTTTTTGTTAAGGATTGTGGTCAAATGCCTTTTATTTTGTGAAGAATTAGGAAATCGCAGATAATATGGCTGCTGCAGGAGTTTTGGGGAACTCAGTGCAAAAATGCATTTGGGGGCAGTGCCTGAGTCTGGCAGGGCTTTATAACTTCTGGGTTGGGTGGCCTGGCACTAAGCCTGCATGTCTGTGCTGTGAGGATGGTCAGCTGAGATAGAATCATAGAATGCTTAGGGTTGGAAGGGACCTCTAGAGATCATCTAGTCCAACCCCCCTGCATACGCAGGGACACCTAGAGCACGTGGCACAGGACTGCATCCAAGCGGGTTTTGAAGATCTCCACAGAAGGAGACTCTACAACCTCTC